TTTTCTCCTCATATTCCTATAAACAGCGATAAAGTAGAAATTTGGTCTTGCATAAATGTCGAAAACTATTTTCTACCCTACTTTTACTGTAGCTAATTATTTTGCATGCCCCGACTACGATAAAACTGGGTCCTTTTTGTCGGTCTGTTCCTTTGTCAGTCCGGATTTTCCATCGTCGGTTTGTCCGTTCCATATCGGGTTCGGATTTTAGATCAAGCTATAGTCACATCATATTGAAATATAGAACACATGCTTATTATGATGTGAAATAATATGAAAAATAACGTTTTTGAGCCAAACTATACGGTTATATTGATTTTGCAAGCTTTACTTTCTTTTTGTGAGTCGATAAATCATGCCACAGAGTTTTTACATGGTTGTGATAATCGTCTTACATGAATTTCTAACACCCTGTGCTGTTTTTAGAATCAAAATATGTGACATATCGAATTAAAAAAATGCGTTATTCTTGGAGCTTTAACCATGGTATCGACCTCACATATATGGGAATATTGAGTTGGTAAAGCATTATTTGTTGAATTCGTAAATAAAACTGATTTTGATTTGTTTGTCTTGTTTTTTTTTTCATTTTCGAGAAGTGACTGAAGCTTTGGTTACATCCAAAGGAAAAGTACATCTTGGGTTTATCATTTACGGGTATTACTACAATTCATTTAAACACAGTCAGCTTCTTTTTTAAATTTCCAATTCAAATTTGTGCATAGATAGTAGTTGGTACGCTTGTACGATGCCATACACATGTTATCAATTTCTTTGTAAAAAAATCAAGTAGCACAAAAAAAAAAAAAAAAGAAGAAAACAGCACTTCATAAAATTCATGCATTTGAGGCGGTTTTCTGATTTACCTTCATCAGGAGAGCTCAAGCCGAAAATTTGAAAGAAAAGGATGTACAAGATTTGAAATAGTTGAAGAGATTTATGACCAAAATAGACCTAAAATAATAGCCAAATCAATCTAAGGCCATCTGTGCCTGATGGAGTTGAAACCTAAGTTTCATAATATTTTTCAATTGATAAACGTACAAATTCAGAAAGTTTCATATAAATCAAGTCAGTACCGAAGTCCTGTAGACTGAGCTGCTGATACCTTCGGGATTTATAGTCCAACAGCAGCGGTATCAACCCCGTGCTGTAAAAAATGAAATCAACACTTTATAGATTTCATGCGTCTGAAGCGCGTTTTTGGATTTACCTTCATTAACGAACAAATAACGAATACAGTAGTTGATTAATTTGTCAGTTTAGAAAGAGTTAATATTCAGGGGTTTAATAAAAATTCAAACTATCGTCGATGTTGAAGTGACTGCCCGGCAAATATGAAATCATTTACACGGTACATAAAGGCAACAGTAGTATTCAAAATTCATAAATCGATTGAGAAAAAAAAAACAAATCCGGGTTACAAACTAAAACTGAGGGAAACACATCAAATATAAGAGGAGAACAACGACACAACATAAACACAACACTAAAATGCAACACATACAGAAACAAACTATAATATAACAATGGCCATTTTCCCCTGACTTGGTACAGGACATTTTAAGAAAAAATGGTGGGTTGAACCTGGTTTTGTGGCTAGCCAAACCTCCCGCTTTTATGGCAATGTTAAATATAACATTAAAATGACAAGATTACATGACAGGACTACAATGCAAATAAATGGGAGAACATACAGGATAGAGACACACACAAATAATAGCTATCAAAAGGTACCAGGCTTATAGTTTAATACGCCAGACGCGCGTTTCGTCCACACAAGACCTATCAGAGACGCTCAGATAAAAAAAGTTCGAAAGCCAAAACAAGTACAAGGTTGAAGAGCATTGAGGACCAAAAGTTCCAAAAAGTAGTGCCAAATACGGCTAAGGTTATATGCCTGGGATAAGAAAATCCTAAGTATTTAGAATAATTTATACTTTTGCAAACAGTAAATTTATAAAAATTACTATATAATAGATATACATTTTACATGTAACACCGAAGTGGTGACTCACTACAGAATAAAAACGAATACGTAAAACAACTTAAATCAGCACACAAAAAAGGCACAGCCGAACAACGTATCATATGTTAGCCGAAGAGATCAACGCACAATGTGACGTCACATATAATTTCTATAAGTTTCCAAAAAATAGGATAGAGTACAATATTAAGTTTGTAATACTGATATAACATGTATAAATAACAATGAAAATTACAATACTTATTAATATACAATTGTGGTAGTAATTAGGTAATTAATTGTAATATCAAGCTATGTTGGTATTTCTTCTAAATCAAACTAAACCAAATACATCGTACAAATTTAGTTGACCCAAACGTAAAATCTTATAAATGAACTGGATGATTAATTATCTTTACCTTAACACACGAATAGAACAGAAAAAAAAGATTTACAACTACAAACGATAAGACATTTGACAAAATCCTAAGAGAATAACAAATATAACATCAAAACTAAATACATGGATTTTGGATAGAAAAATACCGTGACACGTCTTATAGCAATGCGAAATCACACTCAGCAAAACAGTCACAATCGGGAATGAGCTACGTTCGGTACTTAAAAGATCATACGACGTAATGGCAAACCACAATCTAACACGTGGTAAAAATGTCCTTTGTTAGTTTGGACAAAGACACATCGTATGAATCAACCAATTCGTGATGGTGTCCAACGTTTCTGCTTTAAGAGCACACTCCTGCATATGAGGTCCGTATAGTATAAACATGCACGAGCATAACGTATCAACTGAGATATGTAAACACCATACGAAGGGGCAGCGGGTATGTTACTGCTGAGAAATGGGAAATTGATAATTGGGAAGTTGAAATCGTCCCGTTTATCATAGATTTTCGTGTGAAGTCGTCCATCTGTGTCAACATTGAGGAAAAGATCAAGGTATGAAGCAGTCCTTCTAGTATCAGTAGTATCCTTAATTTCAAGTTCACTGGGATATATGAGATGTAAGTATTGGCTGAAATATGGGTCATTCAATAAAAGGACATCATCAATATATCTGAAAGTAAAATTAAAGAATTTCGCAGGGTGCTTTTTTTTTTTTGTCTTTTAGAAGGTTCTGAATGAATTCTGCTTCATACGAGTACAAAAACAAATCGGCCAGTAGGGGTGCACAATTAGTACCCATTGGAATACCGACTGTCTGTTGAAATATCAATCCTTCAAACTCAACAAATATATTGTCAATCAAAAAGTCCAGCATTTTGATAATATCATCTTCAGTATATTTTCTTGGTTCTTCACAAAATATGAATTATTGTAACCCAAAAACAAGAAATTTGTATTTACGATTCCCATTTTTATAGAAAAAGCTCTGTTTAATGAGATGATGAAGTCGATCTTTCAACTGAGCATGGGGAATATTAGTGTAAAGCGTAGAAAAATCTAAATTCTTTATGTTGCTGTAAAACTGCAAAGATTGTCATCGAAGATTAAGCAGTAGATCTTTCGAATTTTTGAGAATCCACATCTGGTTAACACCACTGGTAGAATATATATCATCACAATATTTTTGAAGCCCATCTTTTACTGTAGAAAGAATAGTAGTCAGTACTTTAGAAAGATGTTTAGTCGAACATTATGATGACCCAGCTATGTATCGTTCTTTCTATGGAGTTTTGTGAAGTTTTGGTATCCAGTATAATGACGGTAAATCTTCTTCGTTTTCTTTGATGTTGATACCAAAAGAAAGAAGGACAGATTTGTGATTTTGTAAAATTTCGTCCTTGCTAAATGATGTTAAAGAATATGTAGGATTACCAGTTGATCTATTTATTCCAAGCTCTTTTGTGAGACATTGCAAATAATGGGTTTTACATATGAAGACAATATTATTGGAGGTTTTATCTGCTGGAACAACGACACATTTGTCATGCAAAGAGGATAAAGCATCCACAACCTCCGGATTCTTAAAAGGGTTAGTAAAACTTTACATTATATTACAATTAAAATATAAATTTATTCCTTAATACAGAAGCGGAGTTATACGGAGCAAAAATACGGAGGACATATCATTATGTTTCCCATAGGAGATTGATAACATGTTTCAGTAGCCATATCCGTCTATTTAAAATTTGTAGTTGCAAATTTAATTTTTTGAGGACTTTGATGGACATTTTTTCCATTCCTGCAGAAGGTGTAACTCGGACTTGGTGGGTCAGTGCAAAATCACCCTCCGCCCTCCGGTCGTCGGGCTGATCTTACACTGACACACCTCGTCCTCATGGGATAACTATTTTACATCCCACCTCTTCTAGATTATATGAAAAAAACATTTACGCTTCATAACATTTAGTTCAAAATGTCATACAATAATTTTAATATACTATATATATAACTATATAGTATATGCCCTTTATAAGCACCGGATACAATGTTTAAATATGTTAAATTAACAGTGAGTTTGTATCCAGTCGTCCTGGTGTAGAGGTATGTAATATAGTTGCTTCATATGCTTAAGGTCTTGAGTTCGATTCCCCGCATAGACACTGGACATTGAGTGGATTTTTTCTACATAAATTTTGAAAGTTAGTCTTTATTCCGCAAACATCATGTACATATTTCTAAGTTTTATTGTGTGTTCGACATTCCCGCCAAAATGTTACAGAACAAAAGAAAGCATGCAGAACAAAGAAACTCAAGGTAGGGTGATCTGGTAGGATCTCTAAGGTGACCTTTATGATTGCTTGGTATAAAATGCTGTCTCCCTGATATTAACCTTATATCTCACTTTTTTTTATATTGCAAAAATATCGCTTACTGGAAGAAACTACTTGAAAATGTCATGCATAATATATTGTAATGAATAATATAATATATGGAGTATACGTTACAAAAACAAAAAACGAGGAAAAAGAATATAATGCATGTTGTTTACGCTTCATACAATATCTAAAAGCAAACAGTTGAGAGAAAATTACTGCAAAATATATGATCTTTTTTTTTATAGACTTACCTGTAAGGAACTCGATGTTAACTGTTTTACCCGGACTACTTTAGTAAAAAAATCAAAATGGCTGTTTTTTTATCATCAAGGTAAACGAAACACTATATAAGTAGCCATAAAACTATCATATACCACCTTCAGTGATAGTATTTCAATTGAAGTGCATGCATCCGTAAAAAAATGTGTGATAAGCAATCCTACTTATGTCAATTAAAAATATAGACACCTAAAACTACCGTACCGTTAAAAGATCATACAGATATTATAAGTTACATAGTGTGCTAGTGACCTAATACGATATATATGGGGTCAGAAAATTCCATATGGGGTGAGAGCGAAGCTCGAATTCCCATATGGAATTTACTGACACCATACATATCGTATTAGGTCACCAGCAAACTATGTAACGAATTTATATTACAGACTATCTTAACATGTTGTATTTAGACTAGTGGCCTATCAAAGTTACCAAGTCTTCAATACCGTTAGTATTAACAACCTACTTCCATTGGTCTTTACAAAAACAAATGCTAACAATAACAACTTGTTAGCTTTAAATGTGTTTTATGAATTTACTTCAAATGTTCATCATCAATTTCTTCGTATGTTGAAACCTTTTAAGATACCGCTACTAACCGTGTATTGAAATAAGACCCGCCTACAAACATAATATGGAATATACACGGTCTCCACGTGGTTGCTTTTAACTAATCATATTCCTAGAAATGTATAGTAGGTAAGATAAATTTCGATATTGTTCTGTTGTTGGTATATAAATCCTAATTTTGACATCTAGTCGGTACATTGGCGAACTTTTCTTAAATATGTTAAAGAATTTAAAAAACAAAAACATTGTATGATTTCTTTTTTATTAAAACACAACATCGTGCGACAGTTCAGAAGTATCAAATCGTAATTTTCGAAAAAAAAAAAACCAAAACATTCGTCCCCTATTTATAGGTATACAAACACGAGCATCATAAATTGATTCGTTATTAACACTGGCTTCATCACGTCAGAAAAAAAGTGATATATATAGAAACTGTAGAATCATAGAAGAAGGGAAGGCATACCTCTTCTGTATAGATGTTTATACTGATCAATATTTGAACTTAAGATCATGCCAACCAGCACATTTACGTAGCCAATATCCCCTTCAATCTTGCTAGACGCATATAAACTAAATTTACAAATCGTCGCAACAACAAGTTATGTTTGATAAGGCCACTACCAAATATTTTTTTAGTTTTTCGGAGCCCTACTGTATTTATTTGAATTAGTATCACGATCGTCAAACCAACCATTGAAGAAAAATTTGCACAGAGAACTTTATAAAAAGGATTTAAGAAAACCATATGATTTGCAATATCTGAAGCAATCGTTATAAAGTGGCGCCTTGTGTCACATTTTTAATATTTAGTCAATATAGGTCACGATACAATAACTCCTACATATAGGTGGTCCAGCATTGTATTCTATTTCAATTAGAGCGGGGTAAGTTTTATGTTTTGTCATTTGTAGATACGTAGAAACAAGTATCTTGTCTTTGGGAGGGATAAATCGTACTTTGTACAAATTCATTCTGATTCAAACAAAAAATTCTCTGAAACTGACATTACCACGATCCTTGATTTCTTGAGTGACAACATATTTTTCACCAAACTATTGGCATTCCCATGGTAATCAACTGTGCTCTTCTTTGTCAACTTATTCCTTTATTCATATGAGGCTGGCTTTATACAGGAGCTTCTAAGGAAGAAATAAAAGGAGTTAGCATTACCCTTTAACTTTACTCTCCGTTATATAGATGATGTTATCTCACTAAATATTCAAAGTTTTGTGACTATATCTCCAAGTTGATACGAAATTCCAGGGCTTGTTTTTCTTTTCATGATTTGACAGAAGTTTGCTGCTCACAATGAAGCTATTAAACCAAGAGTTCCATGTGGTTAAGTTGAAATCATCCCTTCGTTAATTTTACGTACGCCGTCACGATTGGGTTGACCTATATGGAATATCTGTTTCACAGATGACGACGGATATGTTCCAACTGTCGTAACCACAAACCCGTTCTCTTTTCCCTAATGTGACCTACCGAATTAGACTTATCACCGGGTTTGTACTAACATAAGAAACAATATGACGGGTGCCACATGTGGAGCTGGATCTGCTTACCCTTCCGGAGCACCTGATATCACCCCTAGCTTTGTTTTACAGGATTTCCTGTTGCTTGTTCTGAAGTTATTAGTGTTGTTCATTGTGCTTTTTAATTTTGCAATGTTTGTTTTGTTTATACCGGTAACAGTGTCGTCTAAATTTAGTCATGAAAAACTTGTTTTAATTTCAAAATTTCACATTCGGTCAAGTTTTAGTCAGAAAAGTTTACATCACTGATGGTCTAGAATTTGGTGTTGTCTTAGGGTAAGATAAGGGTCAATTACCAATCCGCTATTGCGTTATGTCCAATCTAGATATCCTTGATGAATATAAAATGTTATAACTACATCATAGATGTAAAAAGGTTGTAAAATACAAATGAAAAATAAAAATAAAAGGAGATATTGAGAATATTGCTATGATGAGACATCAACCCAACACACATAAAACAGTTTTCTAGTGTGCAAAGTATAGTTTTCAAAAAAAACAAATCTTTACTGGAAAACAGTCTTATAATTTTTAACTAGTGGATGGGGGTCATGATTTTTAATGTCATACTTTTTCTGTAGACACACTGAATTTTCTCCATAGTATTTTTCGTCAGAAATATGTATAATTCAACATATACATGTATACAATGTATGATACTGTCAATACCTCTTTCTTAAAGTGAGTTGATCTGAATTTGTCCTAGTGACTACGAAAAACTGAATTTTTTTAAATATGTATATTATAGATGGTAAACAGTTCATTATATCGATTGAAAGAAACATAACATACACAAAGGTGTATATATAATGAATGAGTGTTATTGTGTCTATACATCAAGTGGTTAAGGTACACCCATAGTGTGAATGATAAAAATATTCAAACTATTATTGTTCTCCTCAATTTCTAGACCAAAAGGAATAGTATTTATATTTTGATCACCGAATTGTTCATTTGATCGTAACATAGTTGTTATTAAATGATTACAACTACTGCGAAATGAACAAAAATGTCAATGATTGCCTGAGTTACTTGATGTCAATTAGAATAACAATACAAAATCTGATACATTTGATTATAGTGTTTGAATATACAAAAAAAAAACAGTAATGTGTGAATGTGTGTTCTTATAAATAATATAAGATGCAACAATAATCTTAAAGTTTGTGACATCTGTTAAATAAATTTGAAGGAACTTTCACAATCATTGTAATGAGAATTGGTTATAGCAAATTTGAGTTATCGTACGACATATTGACATACGGATGGACAGACAGACTTCGGTATACCATAATATATGGAACGTCACAGCTGTCTTATGTGGTACTCTGATATTACGTTATGTTGTTTTATTATTACTTGATGATATTTTGTCTTTACATAATATGGTTTTGACATAACGTAATGATGTTATGATATAACTCAATAGGGAATAGTCATAACTTAATGATATTTCGATATTACATGATATGGTTTCGTATTGACTTGATATAGTTTTGTCATTACTTGATAGGGATTTGTCATTACTCGATGTGGTTTCACAATTATTTAATGTGGTTTGTGTCATTGGGCAATGTGGTTTGTGTTGCCCTTATAAGTACTATTGGTATTGGTGAAAAACAGCCTCTATAGAGTTGATGTCAAGAACTATTTTCTACTTGGTATTTGGTTTGGTTACTATAAGCCGTTGCTGAGTGTTCTAAATTGCTAATTTCTCCGTTTTTTGCTATTCTTTAGTTTAATGTCTTCCCCGATTCTGAAAGATTCTTAAGCATCGTCTCTTTTTGACAGTTTCAAATTGGGGTTTTTACCTCTACTCTAAATGCAAGTTTGAGATGCATTTACTTACCTTTTCCGATGTTGGAGTTCTTAAAAGTTGAGCAACTGAGTAAACGTATTATTTGGTGCGAGTTGTTCTTGCTTCATATTTCAGCGTTTATTTGATGTCTGTATTGTCACTTCCTAAATATCATGGAAAATTTCATTTTTCATTTAAAAATGTCACATAAGAACAAGTTTTAGTTCTAGAAAAATGTACCTTTACCAATGTTTCTTTACTATTTCCTTGGAAACAATTATCAATAGTAAGAAACTTTATACAGCAAAACTGATTAGCAGGACACATCTTACAAATATGTCAAACATGGTCAAAATTGTCATTTCACTGTTTATTAACCTCAAAACCCCGATATTTAACATTTAAAAAAAAGTATTACAGAAAAAAATTTATAAATTAGAAAAATGAACAGCAAGACAATTCTTATACATGTCAACAAAGCCGAAATTGTAGGAGTTATTGCCATTTAATGATAATTTTTACTCATATTTTGCAATTTCAGCTTTGTTGACCTATTTGTTAATCTCACCTTCCTGATCACTGTTATCCAAAATGTAAAATAATTTGAAAATTGTAATTTAAGGGCAATAACACAAAGAAGGAGTCAACTGTCAATTTCAGCTATGTAAACTGGTTAACTGATTTGTAGATCTTGTCTTCAAAATGATCATTATTGCTGTTCACAGTTTTTTTTCATCTACATGAAGGTCAACAAAGCGGAAATTGTCAATTTATTTCTTGTAATAGTTACTGACCTTGAATGATGTTTTTACCAATATTTTATGTTTTGGCAAACACTATTGTAGAAAGAAACTGTAAACAGAGAATTAATCAACAAAAAAGAGGTTAAAATCGTTAATTATATTCTATTCTACAATGTTGGAAAGTGGCCATTGTTGGAGATGCACATAGATCCGGGTGAGTGACACATGCTATTCTGAGCATCCTGTTCTTCGACTAATTGTTTATGAATGACCCCTTGGTATTTTCTCACTCTTCTCAAGGGAAATAAAATATAAAGTAATAAACACAGAATGTATATCGTCTCAAACTCAGAAAAGGCTGACTCTAGATTAAATTGCTATTCATTTTAGGTCCCTTTTGGTCATATAG